TGTTCTCACAGAGAAAGAAATAAAAGACACTGAGAAAGAAGTTAGTGACTTAACAGCAGAGCTAAAAAGTCTTGAGGACAAAGCAACAGAGGTCATAAACAATACAAATGCTGCAGAGGTAAGAAGAATTGGATATACAACTTCAGTGCCTTATAGTAAGTTAGTAGGTTAAAAGGATTTATAACTAAGCTTATGAAAACTACAGCTTTTCTGTGAATTATTGGGAGAGATTGCTAACTCCCATCTTTGTAATATGAAAATATATAACTATTCTATTTGGGAAGATCATAACCTTATAGCAGTTCTTCTTGATTTTTAGAAGTCCTTACCAGAGATCCAGAAAGAACATCGTGATCTACTTCAAGAATTAAAAGTTATTCAAGAAAATGAACATGCTCTTCAGAAAGATGCACTTAGTATTAAGTTGAAACTTGAACAAATAGATGGTCACATTGCTGAACATAATTCTAAAATAAAATATTGGCAAAAAGAGGTGAGATTGCAGGGGCTAGAGTTGTAGCTCAGTGGTAGAGTGATTGCCTAGCATGTGTGAGGCACTGGGTTGAATTCTCAGGACTGCGTATAAATAAAGGTTCATCAACAACTAAAAATTTTAAGAAAAAGGTGAGATTGCTGCCATTAGTTAACTTTATACCAATTTTTCATGAAAAAGGGTTTGGGGTGTTTTGTTTTTTGAAATATAAGGGGTATAATGACCAGTAGTAATATTAAGAGAAATCTGTTTAGTAGTTAGTATAGGGCAATTACTTTTTCATCCCAGGTTTTCATGACTACTTTTTCATGTTCATTAAAAAAAAAAAAAAAATAGTGACCTATGCCCATAATCCCAGCAACTGAAAAGGCTATAATAGAAGGATTGCAATTTCAAAGCCAGCCTTGGCAACTTGATAAGACCAAAACTTACACAAAAAGCATTGTGGATATAGCTTAGTCGTAGAACTCCCCTGGGTTCAATTCCCAATATTACAAAAAACTAATAATGAATCATAGAACCATTTCTTCTTTCTCATAAATTGAACTTTCAGATTTCAAAAATATCATTACATCCTATAGAAGATGGTCCTGTTGAAGAGGTTTCAGTTCTGAGCCAAGAGGATCTCAAAGCAATTGAGAATCCAGATTCTATAACAAATCAGATTGCACTTATGGAAGCCCAGTGTCATGAAATGAAACCAAACCTCGGTGCCATTGCAGAATATAAAAAGAAGGTATGGATGGACTATTTATATGTAATAGTCAAATTCTTTTAGTTCTTAGTATAAATTAGGACCTTTAATGCTAATTCAGATCTCAAATTTATATCTGAATAGATTTTTCTCACAATCTTTTCACAGGAAGAATTGTATTTGCAACGGGTAGCAGAATTGGACAAAATTACTTCTGAAAGAGATAGCTTTAGACAGGCTTATGAAGATCTTCGAAAACAAAGGCTTAATGAATTTATGGCAGGTTTTTATATAATAACAAATAAATTAAAGGAAAATTACCAAATGCTTACTTTAGGAGGAGATGCTGAACTGGAGCTTGTAGACAGCTTGGATCCTTTCTCCGAAGGAATCATGTTCAGGTTTGTAAAGTTTAGAATCCTGTGGCCTATTTTACATGTTCTCCAAATTGACATTTCTTGAGAAATGTGAAGGTGGGATCTACACATCTTGGTTAGAAGGTCAGTATTTATCTGTTTAAATGTAATGGCAATTTACAGCATAAATTACATGCAAATAGCAGATATTTAATCTTTCTCCAATTCCTACATTTTTAATTTTCAAGCCTTTTCAATCTACATAAAGACTGAGAAATTAAACAGAATAAGGAGAAAGAATAGCAAGCAGTACATGAAACTGCTATTTGGTATATGAATTTTACCAGTTGGAACATATACCAATTTTTGAAAAAACAAATGAGATTTCCAAGTAGAAAGGTGGTAGAAATCAGTTATAGGAAACAAATCATGAAGTTTTAACTTCAGCTTTACAAGTAATGTAACTGAAAGATTTTCATAATTATTGCAGTGTTCGACCACCTAAGAAAAGTTGGAAGAAGATCTTCAACCTTTCAGGAGGAGAGAAGACACTTAGCTCATTGGCCTTAGTATTTGCTCTTCACCACTACAAACCCACTCCTCTTTATTTCATGGATGAGATTGATGCAGCCCTTGATTTTAAAAATGTGTCCATTGTTGCATTTTATATATATGTAAGTAATGGTGGATTTTGTTGTTTTTTTTTTAATTCTGGAAGATTTGTGGTTTCCATACAAATTACATATAGATAGAATTCCTTAAATTCTTTTTCTTATTTATTTTGAAGAATAAATTGATGATGCAAATTAGTAGAATCACAGCTACAATCCCAGGTCTCCTTCTAGATCTTTTCTATTAGATTTCTACAGTTATGTTCCCATATTTTCCTCTTAAGCTCACACTGATTAAGTGTTAACATATCTATGTAATGTTGAACTTACACTGCAAAGTTTAGCTGTTTATTATGTGATTTACCTGCTACTACTTAATATTCCTTATTGTTTTTCTCTTTAGGAACAAACAAAAAATGCTCAGTTCATAATAATTTCTCTTCGAAATAACATGTTTGAGATTTCAGATCGACTTATTGGAATTTACAAGACATACAATATTACAAAAAGTGTTGCAGTAAACCCAAAAGAAATTGCATCAAAAGGACTTTGTTGAACTTGTTCATACTGAAGAGTCTTCAAACTGAATTAGAGTTGTATAATATTCCTAAACTGTATGACAAAACGCTATTTTATTTTATGCTGTTACTGTATAAAATATATATATTCTGTATATTGGGAAATTGTAAGAATGTGTTTTGTTAAGTGCAAACTGGAGGAAAATAAAATGCCAGAGAGTAGGTGACTTGGCCTACATTGGAAAGGCTAGCTAATCTTGTTTAAATTCTTAAGGCATTCCACTCAATTTACTAATTCTGACAATTTATTACCTAAATAGGAACATTTTGTTGCAAATCAGTCATTCTGAATTTTTACAGGGAAGAGTTTTAAATGTACATTTCTAAAACTTAATGTGCCCATTTAAAACTTAGGTAACACACAAGATAGCATTATGCTAACAGATTGTCAGGATTTTATTAGGAAGTTATTTTGTATTGAATCAAGTCTTTGCCTTAGCGCTTCAATCTCTAGATATCCTCAGTAGTTAACTCCTCATTCATTAGGTATTAAAAATCCAACATAGTTTGCATCATACTAAAACCATTGAAAATGTAAAGACTGGCAGCATGAACCTAAATAAAGCAAAATCTGAAACTTCCAAGTATTGTCATTGCTTGAAATCAAGGTTCCATAAGGGAAAAATAAGTTTAATAAGGGATGGGATATGGTTTGGTATCAGCACTGCTATAATCAAGTACTAAAATTGGAGAAGTGAATGAAATTATTGAACAGCTAAAACCAACAAAATACCTAGTGCCCATATGAAAATTCCAGAGCTACCATCCTAATTTTGACCACATTAAGCCAGTCAATGCAAATAAAATACCAAAAGGAGTTTATTAAAATGAAATACTTACACATAAGAAAATTTCAAGATTATGTACTTAAAGGGGTACAGTCTCATCCTGTGAAATACAAAAGAAGCATAGTAATCTCATGTCAAGCCTAAATTGCTGTTAATGGGCATACACTTTGATTTCTAGCTACAAGTAATTATTAGAACACCTAATTTATTAATTAGTCTTGGCCAATTCAATTTGAGCATAAACTGAAAAGAATCCATGGGTTCTCCCATGTGTTACTACCTATATGACCTTGTGTGTTTTCTTATGTGCAAAAAAATGGGTTAAGCTAGCACATTTTTTGCTAATAGTTACTGGAAACATAATTGAATTTGATCTTAATGGTCATTAAACTACAATGTCCTTTATTGCTTTTTTAGATTTCTAAGCAAACATTTAGTGCTTAAAGTCTATGTACCAGATACCGCTGTTTCTTAAAATTGTCTTTAATAGCTGGACATAACTCACCTCTCATTAACACCCTTCCAATGTTCTGACCACACAATGATTGTGCTGAATGTAGACCAATTGTGATCCTATATCAATGTAATGCCATCATCTGTGTTGACTTAATCTCGGCTGGTAATAAGACCTAAGGAGTTCCTTAAGAACTAGTTCCCTGAACAAAGTTACATTCATTCATTATAACCTACCTATACATAATCTGTAGGGCTAAGAACATTACTGACCTGGAAAGTCTCTGAACCAAATAAGGCCCAGAAAGGTCATCCAAGAGCAGCCAGTCTGGGATTTTTGGAGTTTGTATGCTCTGGATTTTACAGGTAATGGGCCAAAAGTCCTCCAGCAAGCACCACAACTACAGCCCATTAAGGGAATTTGAGTGAGTTCTGGCTTAATAGGCTCATCCCTTAAGAAAAGTTCAATATAAATTTGCATTACCCAAGGGAACATGTGACAAAATTTTATTTTAAGATGAATATAATGCTATCAAAATCTGTTGGAAATGAAGTATATCATCAGCATGACTATCTAGTAACATGTTTTACAGTTTTTATCCAAGAACTGATTTGACTAAAACATTACAAAATATTTTTTGGTAGTGCTGTAGATCACATAGGCAAGAGCTCCACTACTGAGCCATAACCCCAGTTCTTAAAAAAAAAAAAAAAAAAAAAAAAAACTTTTTTTTGAGAAACGAGCTGGGGGAAGGGATCTTGCTATATTGCCCAGGCTGACCTTGAACTTGAGATTCTTATAACTCAGCCTCCCAAATAACTAGGACTACAGGCCTATACCACCACACTCAGCTCCCGAATGACAAATCTTAATATTAGAAATTGTCATTGTTCACTAATATTGACTATCCAAAAGCTTTATTTGGAAAAGTGTTAACATTTTGGCGCTCTTTATCTAGTTCTGTTTGACCAAAAAGATCTTAAAGCAGTCCTTTGTCACAAGACTTCGATGCTTGACCTTTTAATCTTTTAACATCCTTATTCATCCATTCAAAGGCTTTTTTTTTTTTTTTGAGAATTTTGCCATCTTTTAATCTAAAAGCTAGAGAGAAAAATGCAAAGCCAATAGCATAAAATGTTTAAATGGTCCCAGCAGCTTTAAGTCAACCTCTTTCATTCAAACCAATAAAAATTAATTTCCAAATCAATTACTAGATTTTATTGTAGTTTCCTAATTATGACTTAACTATTATGTCTGACATCTCTTCAACAAAAGCATAAGTTTTAATATTTCTATATATTTGTTGCAAATCAAGTCTGGTTGCTATTTATGCTACCCCTATTTCTCCATTTAGCAGTGGTTAGCTTGTGCTATATACAATGAGCCTATTTACAATTCTGATTTAAGTTTTCAATAAGAAACTATTTTCCACATGAATTCCTTTAGCAAATATAAGGTATGACACAGTATATTTCTTAAATCATTTAGATTGTTAGATAAACTTTGGTAAATAGACAGAGAGACTTCAGAAAAACATATTGAAGTGATTTCATTTAAGAAGGTTATTATGTGTTGGTTGAAAAAGAGTATCAACATTAATATCACTGAAATTAGTGTAACTATAACAATGTTTAAAATTTTAAAAAATTCTACTTCTTTTTCATCCTTATCAGGCCAGGAACATGGCATTCTTTTTGAAGAGATTTTCATTTCAGGAATGAGAGCTTTCTTAATTTGTCCAATTTCTGTTCTGCTCCACTCTTCTTTTAATATTTTGCTTACTCGAGGATAAATTTCAACAGGCTGGACCTCAGGAAGTGGTCTTTGTTTCAAGATCTGCACACGTTGGCGAACATCATCAATTTTTTCAAGAAATTTAAGTGGAGACTCATCTTGTAATGAAGTTGTCACTGTCATTAATTCAAGCTGCTGCTCTCTTATTTCTTTCATTCTTTCAATTTGCGGAGTATATTTTTGATTAATCAGATTGCCAACATCACAGAGAGCTGTTAGGAAAAATTTTTTTTTCTGTTCCAACGTATCCATAAGCTCCTTAAAATACTGGAGAACAACTTCCTTATCACCTTGGACCATTTTCTCAGAATGCGATTTTTGTTCCTCTAGCTTTTCAATAAGACGAGTAAGATCTGTCCAGTGTGTATCAGTTAACTGTTTAAGCAGTTTTTGAGGTGTGTCCTTTTCTTTCAGATAAGCACTTTGAAGGTCATCTATAGGATGACCATGATGTTGACCTATAGTGAGGCAATGACCACAAACTAATTTTTTATCTAGAAGACAATAAACATTTAATGGCTGCCGATAATGTTCAGGGCAGGTGACAATATCTGGATGGTCTTCTTGCTGGTACTTTTCAATAATAGCCCTTAATGCAAAATTAACAGGTAATGATTCAATACCAGTTGGAGCAATTTCAATAATACTTCTGCAATTAGGGCACTTGAGTGGAATTCGTAAAGGTCTCCATATATAAAAGTTACCAGATGCCTGAAGAACATTTTCCAAACAATTTCTACAAAATGTATGAGAGCATGGTAGTACACGAGGATCTTCAAATATACTGTAACAAATGGGACACGTTAACTCATCCTCAAAATTGTGCATTTCCTGTCAAGAGAAAGAAGTATATTTAAAGTTTACATATAACAAATACATCTATTTATATAAAGTTTCAGTCATTAACCTCCACTATACTTGTCACTGAAAAGGACAATTATTAAAAATTTTTTAAAATGACATTCTTAGTAATTCAAATCCTAATCTAATATTGAATTGATAATCTTTAAGAGTTTATTGAAAAGTCAACCCAAGCAAAATGTAATACAATGCTTCAAATAAGTCGTTTAAATTTGTTACCGTGTACTGAACACTTAAGAAAAATTCAAAATATTCTGCTGAAATCTAATTACAACTACTATATACAACTTTTTTTCATTATGCTAAAATCAAAATTTATAGCTAAATGAATTTAACATTTTCAATAAGAAAGTTTGCACTGTCAAAAGATATGTATATAATGAATAAACAAAAATAAATATTTCTACTACATAATGTTTACACAGAGTTAGCAATATAATATTTTTTAATTCAAAAGGAAAAAACATGCTTCAAGTTGGCTCAGTTCTTTAATTCAAAAGGAAACATAGTCCCCAGTTGGCTCATTCATGTTTTGTTCTTTTTGTGCTGGGAACTGAACATCAACCCAGTCCTTTTTTGTTTGTTTGTTTTAGATAGGATCTCACTAAATTGCCTAGACTGACTTCTAACTTGCAATCCTGTCTCAGTCTCCCAAATTGCTGGGATTATAGATGAATGCTGCTGGTTTTGCAGTGCTGAAAACAGAATATAGCCTTGTACATGCTAAGAAAGCCCTTTACCAATGAGCTAGGAATTAAACCAGTCCACAGTGAAATTTTCTAAAGCAATAATTTTAACTTGAATATTTGGAAAAGAAAAGGATTTTAAATAGACCTTGAAATAAAAATCAGTTCGAAATATGAAAAAGTTGATTCTGATGACTCTGAAGCACTGAGTAGTGAAAAACTAAAGTACAGATGCTAAAGAAGATAAAGGACACCATTAATCATCTTTCCTTCACTAAAAAATGTGTATGAGACAGAAAAATAAATCCAGTAATAGTTCAGAAATTTACTGACACAAGTAACGACTTCTTCTCAAGCTATTGATATTTTCAACAACAGAAGCCTGACTTACCCCTTTGATGGGAAAAAAAATAAGTTATACCACTGTTAAAACACACAAAACAAGAAAATCCAAGTGCTATTCATGTAAAATACTATTGAATATCAAATCCTCCTTTATTACACCAGATTTTTAGATTAAAAGTCTGTGAAAACAGCATCTAAAAATAACTAAATACACTTTTAAGAAAGATTAAAAACCTCTGTAGACTTTAGCTGTTTAGCTTCCTTTACTATATGCCAAACTCCTATCCTTCAGCATGAAGCTGGCTCTGCACCAGTTTAGGACTGTTAATCTTATTGCACTTTTATTTCATAGCACATAAGAGATTTTATTTATGAAGAATTTTGTACCAGGCACAGTGGCTCAGACCTACAATCCCAGCAACTTTCGAGGCTAAGTAAGGTGGCAGGATCACAAGGAGGCCAGTGTTGACAACTTGGTGAGACCCTGTCTAGAGATGTAGCTCAGCGGTTAAGCATTCCTAGGTTCAATAAAAAAAAAAAAAAATTGAATAAGGTTAGGAATTATGTCTAAACTATGCTATATTTCTACAATCTACACACACAACTTAACACATTAAACATTCATTCCCCATTGGTTGAATCTTAAAAGTTTTTTTTAATAGCAAAATTTCTATTTAGGAAAAGCTTTAGCAGGAGAGTCCATCAGGAAATACTCTATTCAGACTGACAAAATTCAGATCCCTAATGAGCCAAGATGTGTCATACAGAGACTAAATTTGAATTGTGAAGCATTCCAGGAAACTAAAGTTAATTGGGCAATAGCATAGAAGATAATAGTCAATGCAGATAAATTCAAGTGAATGCATGCTGGAAAACCTTTACAACTCTACCTCACACCTACAGAGACACTGAAGTCATTCAAAAACCATCCAAGAAAAACAAACATATTTCTCAAGAGTATTTCAGTGATGTCACATGCACAATGAAGGAATACACAGAGCAGCTAGAAAAAAATTTAAATAGACATTCAACCTAGATTTAATATTATTAGAGTTATTTAATGTATAAGAAGCATAACTAGCCCTAAAAACTTAACATTTCATTCCAAAGCCCTATTTCTATACTTGTCAAAATGCTAGAGAAAACTTCTCTGAGAATGTATTTAGGGACCCAAAAGCTTGAATTAGAATTCTTTAGAATGAGAATATTCAAATAATAATAATAATAATAAGCCATCTCCAGTGCTTATATAAAATGGAACATAATAGAATAAAAAATCATGGTCTCAAAGTTACTACTACAGTATGTAGAATTTTTATTAAAATTTAACCAGAAACTTACAGATTAAATTTAAATATCAGTGAATCAAATTTTATTCTGACTACCCTCTTGCAGACTTCTTAAAAACTGTGGGTATCAAATTAGATAGAAATCATAACTTAAAAGGGACATGCCAAAAAAAATTTTTTTTAATAAGGCCAGGAACTTTATGACTGGTTACTACCTAAGAACTACAGGATTACAGTTTGCTATCACACTTGGGCACTATTTTTCCAGAGATCAGTATGACACTGTAGACCAATGGCACAGAATAGAGGACACAGAGACTAACCCACATAATTACAATTATCTTATATTAGACAGAGGTGTCTAAAACATACACTGGAGAAAGGATAACCTCTTCAACAAATGGTGCTGGAGAAACAGGAAATCCATATGCAACAAAATGAAATTAAACCCTATCTCTCACCATGCACAAAACTCAACTCAAAGTGGATCAAGGACCTAGGAATTAAACCAGAGACCTTGTGTCCAATAAAAGAAAAAGTAGGCCCAAATCTCTATCGTGTGGGATTAGGCCCCAACTTCCTTAATAAGACTCTAATAGCATAAGAATTAAAATCAAGAATCAATAAATGGGATGGATTCAAACAAAAAAAGCTTCTCAGCAAAAGAAACAATCAGTGAGGTGAATAGAAATCCCACATCTTAGGAACAAATTTTTACCACTTACACATCAGATAGAGCACTAATCTCTAAGGTATATAAAGAACTCAAAAAGCTAAACACCAAAAAAAACAAATAACCCAATCAATAAATGGGCCAAAGAATTGAACAGATACTTCTCAGAAGATGATATAAAATCAATCAACAAATATATGAAAAAAAATGTTCAACAACCCTAGCAACTAGAGAAATGCAAATCAAAACTACATTACATCTCAACATAGTGTTGGTGAGGATATGGATTAAAAGGCACACTCATACATTGCTGGTGGGACTGCAAATTGGTGCAGCCAATATGGAAAGCAGTATAGAGATTTCTTGGAAAACTAGGAATAGAATCAACATTTGACCCAGCTATCCCACTCCTTGGTCTATACCCAAAGGACTTAAAAACAGCATACTACAGGGACACAGCCACATCAATGTTTATAGCAGCACAATTCACAATAGCTAAACTATGGAACCAACCTAGATGCCCTTCAGTAGATGAACAGATAAAGAAAATGTGGCATATATACACAATGGAATATTACTCAGCAATAAAAGAGACTAAAATCATGGCATTGTCCGGTAAATGGATGGAGTTGGAGAATATAATGCTAAGTGAAGTTAGCCAATCCCCCCCAAAAAAATGCCAAATGTTTTCTCTGATATAAGGAGGATGATTCACAGTGGGGTTGGGAGGGGGAGCATGGGAGGATTAGATGAACTGGACAGGGCAAAGGGGTGGGAGGGGAAGGGAAAAGGGCATGGGGGTAGAAAAGCCGGTGGAATGAGATGGACCTCGTTACCCTAAGTAGTATGAAGACACAAATGGTGTGATGATACTTTGTATACAATAAGAGATATGAAAAATTGTGCTCTATATGTATAATATGAATTGTAAGGCATTCTGCTGTCATATATAACAAATTAGAATAAAAAATAAATTTAAAAAAGAGATAATAACCTAATAGCTAAAAAAAAAAAAATTGTACAGTTGAGATGGATGCAGTTTGTTGTGCCTCTTACACCCCAATAAAGCTTCTTTTAACAAAAAAATAAAACTTTATGCACCAAAAAAATAAAACTTTATGCAACCTGCAGTGGGATGGAGGGGATGACAACTTTATATGAACCTCTTAAATTTACTAAGTTTTAAAACATCAATAATGACACTGGAAACTAGAAAACAATGAAGCAATGCTTTCGATATTCTCAGGGGACAAAAAGCCTTCCTTAATGGAACCTAAAATACATTTTGATATAAAGGTAACCAGACATGAAACCTCTCACAAATGAGACCCTGCCAATCATTCTTAATGAAGCTACTACAGGAGAAAAGACAATAATTCTCATCAGGATAACTAGGAAACAAAGTCCAGGACAACAGTACAGTCCTAAAGAACAATGTGTCTAAAAAAGACACATACAGGGGTGTCTTTAGGTAAATAAAGGAACTGACAAAATTCTTCATGTACTTGAACATACTGAGAGGTCATAAAAAAACTAAATTTAGGAAAAAGGAATAGATATAAAAAGAGAATAAATATTATATATCCTAGCTGTTTTATTAACATAGTCATATTACATTACATGTGTACACACACACATATATCATAAAACTGATTTTACCAGAGCAACAAAAAAATGTGGGTTTTTTTTTGGAGCGGGTAGGGTCAGGTTTCTGGGCATTGAAACCCAGGGACTTTCTACCACTGAGCTACATTCCCATCTCTTTTGACTTTTTTTTTTTTAATTTTTTTATTATTTAGTTTGAGGTGACACGTTATCTTTATTTTATATTTGTGTGGTGCTGAGATCGAACCCAGTGCTTCACACATAACAGGTGAGCTATCACTGAGCCACAATCCCACCCTCTTGATTTTTTATTTTGAGACAAGGTCTCACTAGGTTGTCCAGGCTGGCCTCAAACTCTCCTGTCTCAGCCTC